TACTTTTTAATGACTGACAATAACCCTAAGTATATCAAAATTATTAACAAATTCAATTAAAAATTTATTAAAAGCGTCATGTGACATCGTTTTGAAACATTTTTAAAATTACAAAAAATATAGATAGGCAATATTCGTAGGTAGACTTTTGGTAGGTAGACAATATTTTCAAAACCTAATTTTTACCTAGGTACATTGAAATGGTAACTTATATATCGTCGGTTTACTGCCAAATCCAGATAAGTTACATTTTGTTAGTTTTGTGAAAATCAAGTTTAAAAGTTTAAGCCTACAGTAAAACAATTACATGAAAGGAAACATTTAATAACCGATAAAATAACATAGATTGTGGTACTGTGAAAATAGTTAATAGCAAAAATCAGAAAAAAAAATTAGGAAATGTTAAAAAATTTTAAAAAATGCAAAAAAATCTGTACTTAACCTATTTTGCCTGAACTGATTGGCGTAATTTGAAACTTGTCTTAAAGTATGTTTAACTTAAATATCAACTTCAGGATCACCATCTTCAAGTGCTGGTTCAGGATGGTAAATTATAATAATATGAGTGAAATTCATCTGGAATCACATCAGACTTGCACAACTTCAATAAATCTTGTTTTTTTTGGAATTTATAGGTCGCATCTTCATATACGCGCCCTTTAGCGTTATTTCTTTCAAATTATGTATTTTTCGACTTCTCCCAAAAACGTTCATCTCTATATTCTGAAGTATGATCATACCTATATTCAAGGATTCCTGATTTAGCGTTTTGGTATCGAAAACACTTAACTTTAACAACATACTTACAGCAACAATGATTACATCAGGAAAAGAAATAGCAAAGAAGGATCTAAAAAAGAACAACTAAGTATATATCAACAGAGACAAAGAAGCTTATGGATAAAAGAAGGAAGCTGAACGAAGAAGGCAAAAGGAAATCTATAGAATATGTAGAAATTAATAAAACAATAAGCAGAATGATAAAAGAAAATAAGAGAAAAGAACAAGAAATAAAAATAGAAGAAGTAATACAAAACAACAAAAATATGAAATGCTTAAGGCCGAAATTAGGTAAGTTTGAAATAAACAAAATAAAAGATGTAAATGGAATAGAAACAAACGTTAAAGATGACATCATAAATATAATCCACCATTTCTACTCAGAATTATATAAAACAAAAAAGGAACCACCAGAAGAAATTAAAAACCAACTTAAGGTCAAAATAAAAAATATCAACTCAGAGCTGCAGCCCGAAATAAGCAAATCAGAAATAAAGAAGGCATTGAAAGAAATGAAAAACAACAAATCTCCTGGAAAAGATGGAATAACTGCAAAGATGCTGAAATATGGCGGAAAGTGGTAATTAATACTCTACATTCCCTTTTTAACAAGATATTAAAAGAAAAAAGGATCCCAAACAACTGGAAGGAATCAGTAACCATTATCCTACACAAGAAAGGGGATAAAGCAGATATAAAAAACTACCGTCCTATAACACTCCTCAATGGAATGTATAAACTCCTAACAAAAATTTTAACCAATAGATTGACGACAAAATTCGATGGATACCAGTCGAAAGAACAAGCTGGTTTTAAAAAGGGATTCAGCACAAGTGACCATTTACTAAGTATGAAAATACTTATAGAACGAGCAAATGAATACCACATTCTTCTATATATGGCATTCATAGATTTCGAAAAGGCTTTCGACAGTGTCGAACATTGGGCGGTGAAAAGTTCTTTGATTAACAGCCGAATTGACCACAGATATACGGAACTAATAACCAATATATATAAGGAAACCAAAACAACAATTAAAGTAAGTATATGAAGGAACAAAATCATTACAAATAAGTAGAGGCGTGAGACAGGGTGATACAATATCACCGAAACTTTTCAATCAGGCTCTTGAAGATACTTTTAAAAGATTAGAATGGGAAAACAAAGGTATAAAAATTTGTGGACAACGCTTGAACCATCTAAGGTACGCTGATGACATCGTATTGATAACCGATAAAAAAGAAGAATTATTTGAAATTATGAAAGAACTGGACGTAGAAGCTGGAAAGATAGGCCTTAATATGAATTACAGCAAGACCAAAACTATAACAAATACAGATGAAGACATCACAATGAGAATCGGACAAGATGAAATAGAACAAGTTAAGGATTATATATATCTTGGTCAAACTATAAAACTTAACAAAGAGAATCAAACAGCATAGATCAAGAGACGAGTTAGACTGGCATGGGCGACATTTGGCAAACTAAGCTACATTCTTAAAAACAAAAGATATCCACAGCATCTTAAGACCAAAGTATATAATCAATGCGTACTCCCTGTTCTTACTTATGGTTCCCAAACGTGGACATCTACAAAAGCAAACATGGACAAAATCATAAAAACCCAAAGAGCAATGGAAAGACAAATGTTGCACATAAGACTAATGGATAAGAAGAGAAACGAGTGGATAAGAGAGAAAACAAAAGTGAGAGATGTTAGACAAGAAGATGCAAAATTGAAATGGAGATTTGCCGGACACAATATAAGACAAAAAGAAGACCGATGGAACAAAATTCTTATAAGTTGGAGACCGTGGGAATATAAACGAAGCAGAGGAAGGCCCCAAATGAGATGGGCAGATGATATCAAGAAGCACGTGGGCTCTAGATGGATGACTGTAGCGACAGACAAAGAAGAATGGAAAAGGATTGGGGAGGCCTATGTCCAAAGATGGACCGAAGAAGGCTAATTAGATAGATAGAAGCTTAGAAAGGCATTCTAAGTCAAGAAAATCTTTATATTTGAGTTCCTGTACAACAAACGGTTTCTTTTTTTTATGATGTTTTTCTAGTAGTGCGAAATATTGTTAGCCAATCATGCGTTGTATACACAGAAACATACTTCTGGGCTCGTTCAATGGCACTGTGCATACTGTCTACTTCCATGTAGCTGTGTCCACTTTCCAAAAACTTTGGCTCTATAATCATCAAGTTGGGATTTTTTTGAACCAAATAGAGTAACAAAGCGCTAACATTTTGGTTCCTCCACATTTGGGATCCACTGAAAGTGTAGGAAAACACTGATAATGCATTTATACTATTGGGAAGCTGATTAATATAAGTAAAGAGGTAGGTGCCAATTTCTAAGCTACCCCTTTTCCATGAAGCTCTATTGAGCTATAACAAAACGCATTCATTGGCGGTGCTAGTGACTGTCAAATTTATAAGTGCAAATTTTTCGACTGTAGTACATTGGACTCACGTCGCTACTCGGTATTTGAAGCACACATTGCAAGTCAAATGTAGCACATACGAAATTGGCCTCTTTCATAGCTCTAGCTTTGTCCCTTGCTTTTGCTGTGTTGAAATCCTCTTTTCGAGCTACGTGTTCTTGATATTGCGTCTGTGAATGCTTTTTCTTTTCTTTATCATTAGTCTTGTATTGTGTGCAGAGCTGGTATTGATATCTTTTTGGAGTGAAGAAAGAATAGTAATTATTACAAAAAATGTATCTATAAGTGATTGAAGATACACCTGAGGTAACATCATGTTCACATAATTGTTTATACATTAAGTAGATTTTATTCATACCCAATTTACAATCTAGATTATTTCGTTTGGTAGAACTTCTCGTATAGTAGAACTCCAATATAGAAAAACTTTCAATATGTTGCTTTACCCTTTAGATATCATCAAAATAAACTGTAAAAACAAGATAATCGTACCTATCTGTTTTATACGCATGGTCATTCTATAAATCTACTATACTTTAACATCAAAAATAAGTTAAATGTCACCTAACCAGTTTTTCAAGAAGAATTAATTTTCTTTTTGCATATGAAATTAGTATCTACTTTTCGTTAAATGTACACTTAACTTGTTTCAGTTGTACAGTTTTGACCAAAATGAATAATTGCCAAAACAAGCCTATATAATTCTCCTCTTTTCCATTGTCCGACACTTATCTGTTTTACGCAGTACATTTATATACGAATTTTGATTACGAAAATGCACTTAACTTAAACATGGTAAAAAATGCACTTATCTGGTTTTGGCAGTAAACCGACGATATGAAGTTGATAATTCTGTTTAACGGTTTTGTACTTTGATGCTCACTAGATTTCTGGAGATCCAAATCCAAATTGATCATTAAATGATTGTAGGTACCTACATTTACACAAATTTTTTTAATGACCGAAAACTCTTGTTACTACATAAAAATCCCTGGTTTATTTTTAAAAATCAACAAAGAATACAAATTATGATATAAGAATATAGGATGCAAATCATGTACAGGCTACAACATGGAAGAAGAAGATAGTTAAATAAAATCAATAAATACATATAGGTAACATTGGGTAAAACCATATTGATAGAATTATCACTAAGATTTACAAACAATTACCTACATATTTGATATTTAAAAATACATTTAGCGATTTAATAGTAATGAGGCTTTAAATGAAATTTAAACTGAATGTCATATTTACTGATTGATTTAATGATTCTGCTAAAAATTACCACAATATTTTAAATCACTTTGAAATACTAATAAAAAAGATGAAAGTACTATTGCATATAATAATAATAGGCAATTAAACAAAATAGAAATAAAACTCTTTTCTCGTAATTAAAAAAATTAAAAAAGTGAAGTGATTGGAATGTGCCCGTTCAAAAAACACAGTGGTAAACAGGAATAGCCAACATACTTCACATATTTCCGGTTCTGGTATTTTTGGTCCGTTTGTTTTGACTGCACCTTATAAAACTAGGTCATGTGAATTGCACGGGAATAAAATCAACGAATATACTCACCGTTTTAGGTCTTGGTGACACAACAGGTTGTTGAATTAAGGAATAATAAGATAGAATTCCAATAGCAATTATTACGCACACTCAAGTATATCGATTATTCAAATTTTGACAAATTTGCCGCCACAAAACAAATGCAACGAAAGTTCAATGGCGCCTTGCGCGCAATCGCATTACGTCTTGTCAGTCTTGACAGACATTACCCGCAGATGCTGGTCACACATTTGTTTGTTGTCAGAAATATATCAGTTTATTAGACGATTCAATTTGATATCAGTCAAAATCAGACATACCATTGTTGTCTGAATGTGATACAAGGAAAATCACTCGAATGCGATCATCGCAACAAAAGAAAAACGCGTTCTTCGGTTACGTCACTAGGCCATTTTGTATTTGGTGAAATCTTTGTTCGTGAACAGAGAAAAGTTGTAAGGTTTTTCGTAAACCTCGTGTTCTTTTTAGAGTGTTATTAAAAAATTATCAAAATTCCGGTGCCCACGAGAAACAGGGATCCCGGCCACTACGGTAGCGGTGATATGAACAACAAGAGGAAAAATCGAGGGGGCCCTGTCAGGTCAGTATAATATTCAAAACAAAAACAATAGAAAGTACACTACTTGTTAGGCGGCATATTCATTGTTTCAATGATTTATAATTTAATTAGTGATACCTAAGTGATGACAGGAAGTATCTACACTTACAACTCCCTTAATTTGCTCTACTTTTCATATATCTAGTCAATACTTTACACATCCTATATTATTCACGTGGATTATATGGAATACCTTCATTTTTATTATATTTTTAGTAGTCAACTTGATTACTACTCTATGATTACAACCAATCATATTAGGTTTTGCTAATTTGTTTAATAGGGGAGAGTATGATGTACATTGATATAATCATTATTTTAAATTGCCTTCCTTATAAAACTGCAATAATTCAATATTAATATTGCAGTGGTTAATGATGTCTCATCCAAAATATATAGAGGATTTTAATTATCAGCTTTTTATTGTAATTTAGTATTGTACTGATTTTATAAAAAAAATATTGGATTTATAAGAATTTATATCTTATTTTGTTTGTAATATATTCATGGCCAGTAAATGTTGCAAAATTATGGTAGACTGTAGTTGTATTTAACTCTATGAAGGGAATTATTATTCTTTAATTTATTCCTTGTGGTTGCTTTATTTGTCATTTTTGAGTTGATCTGTTTTCAGTGCTATTAATTGTTGGGTTTAATCATATTTGTAAGTTGGCTTACCTCATGTTACCTCTTCTTCTGTTTGTAGATAGCAAAGGAACAGCTAGTAATTGTTTTTAATTTAGTATAGATAATATTATTAATGATATCTTCCATATCTGTTTTTTTTTATTTAAGAATTAATTTTTTTAATCTAACCATTTCTCAGGTAAAACTATCAGTATGAAGAATCTGTGGATATTGTTAGGTATGATGGTAATCAAATGCTCCTAATTTAAGTTAAAATTAAATATAAAAACAAAATGTATAGAAGTTAGCAAGAAGTATAATCCGAATCTCCCTCATGACAGAATCACATTATGCAACTTTTAGTACCTGAATAATCTAGTAATCTTATATTCAGAATTGCATATAATCCAGAAAGGAAGAAATGCATGTACAATAAGCTAATTGGCTGCAGTATGACTAGTTTATAACAGAAAGCTTCTGGAAAAAAGCAGACAAGGCATTGCTTTTTAATGTTAGAAATAATATTAACAAGAAGCTATTTGAAATTTAATCTCTGATCCTAACCCTTTAACTTTGTTATTTATTTTTATATCTACTTGCCCATTACCCTGTACACCTATACTTAGCCATAATAGTAATCTGTTACTACTCCTACAGGTGTAATGAAAATAATGAATGTGTTCACTGAGGTTACATGTTAGTGACAAGGCTTATCCTTGAAAATCCTAACGGTAAAACTCACTGAGATATCTTTTTCAAAAATATCTTTCTTTACGAAAACAAATCCATTCAAGAAGAATATTTTAAATGTTATCTTGTACTAGATTTTTTCTTTTTACCTACTTACAACCCCCTGTTGTGAAAAGTCTTGGGTCTATACAATAAAGCGAGCGGGAGTTTTCTATTCAGTGCGGTTATGGGGTAATTAGAATAATAGGAGTATACCAGAGTAATATTATTTATTGAATAATTAATTCACAACTTAGCAAGGGTACATACAGGTAACAAATAATCATCCTGTAAATCATTCATAACAATCAAATCGAAGACAAACTTTTATAAAATTTTATTACAAAATTATGTAAAACAAGATATTTTGAGGTCACAGTATTGGTTTTTTTATGTCATATTTTCTTTTGTTTTTTTTTTGTTACTTTTTTTTACTGACAAATTGGTTTTTAACATATATTACAGTTTGATAATAAATATTCTGAAATGGAAAATGTTGACACTCAATAATCCAGGTCACTGACAACTTTTTTAGTTATTGTAGACCTATAGGAAAAACAACTACTTGTTTCCTGCCTTGAATTTGGAGCAATTTACGGCAAAAAACGCAATTTTTTTCTATGATTATTAATAATACTAGTGTTAAAAAAAATAGATTTTTGGAAGAAAATATTTTTTCACGAATTGTTTAAACAAACTAGACTATTTATTAATTAATTAATATATAAACAAATTACATATTTGTAATGTATGTAGAAATTACATACAAATTAAAAAAGAATGATCAAAATCCATTGAGTAGATCCGGAGACCTAGAAAATTTTATTAGTTTGATATTGTTCGGGTTCTATTTTGCTCTAAGGCATTCACCTCATTCCAAGACTTTCCTTAGCCTATTATCTCGTCATTTAGTCCATACTTGTTTTAATTTCAATTGGGTTATTAATAGGTTTATTGTTTTTGTCAATTAATCAGTTAGGTGTATTTGTTCATTATTTTCCAGATAAATCTTTCACTTTTTTATGTAAATTATAATGAGCATGCTTTTTCTGCAATTCTTCCACTTCAATGCATGTTTCCATCATCCACTTTTCCTTAGTTTTTTTTTTATTTTGTTCCTTATTAGTTTATGTTTTTCTCTGTACTTATTTGGATTTTTGTTTCTATAGTTTCTTCTTTGTTCCATGATTTCCATATTCCTTGATTCATCCAGTGTTTTCGGCTTTCTGTTTTCTTTTGTAGAGTTTCTTTCTGTGTTTTTATAACATTCTCAGTATTTTTCGTTTCTGGTGTTAATTTCTTCATTTCTTCTAACAAAGATCAGTTTTGCATATTCCTTTTTAACCAGTAAAAAAAGTTCACCAGACACACCAAAAAATTCCAATTTATGCAATAAAAGGCAATGATTTACCCTGCTGAATGCTTTAGATGTGTATATAGACAGGAATAAATGGAATCCACTTAAGAACTGTTTTCCAATGCATTTATGATGTAATCTGTGTAAACTAGTAGGTTAGTGGTAGTTAAACAACCAAGCAGGAAACCATGCTGAGCAGTATGAAGCTGATTCTTTAAATTAACTACCAAAAATCAGTGTCTGAAGCCTAGAAAATTTTAGGAGTATTGAAATCAAACTGCCAAGATAAAAGTTGACAACCAGAACACCAGTGGTATTTAAGTAATGGAATGCCATGGTTATTGAAAATATAATTAAGGGTGATAAAAATACGTTATGATATGATCAAATATAGACCAAACAAAAGAAATCAAATACTTATTAAAATAGCATGTACCTGCATATCAATAAATTTGAACCCTTGAATATCATGGATTCAAAGAATGGGAATTTCAAATATGAAATAATAGGAAATGAAGCAGAAGTAATAGTAGGAACAGCATCCTTCACCATTTTCAGGAATTCCATGGGTATCTGTTCTACTTCTCCTGATGCATTATTTTTTTTGGGGGTTTAGTTCTTATAATTGCTTCTTAAAGAAAATATTTCTCACTCAAGATGGTTTGTCATTTGACTCCCTGTAGTCTCTTGGAATGGTTCTTAACCATGTTTGAAACAAAACTAAACAAAAATAAGCACAGAGTACATTGGAAAGGAACAGATAGTAAAAAGAGAAAAATCAATGAAGCTGCCCTCATCTTAATTACGAAAAATGCGAACAAATTAACAGAATCTAGTTACGCCTTCTGAAAGAAGAATATGTCAACATTAATGGGTTGATGGAAGATCATAGGCATACATAAATTCCAATTAATTATGTAAGCACACTTAAATTAGAATTTTATATCAACCTTGGAATTTTCAATTCAAAAAACATGTTTACCTAGGTTAAGTAAATGAAAAATATTTAAGTTAAGGAAAAATATTTGGAAAGCGAGGTCCAGGAAGAAGAAGAACATCTTGGTTAAAGAACCTCAGAATCTGGTTCAATACAACATCTGTGCAGCTTTTCCGTGCTGCTGCAGATAAGATAAAGATTGCCATGATGATCGCCAACATTTGTAACGGATAGGCACATCAAGAAGAAGAAGTAAATGAATGGTCAAATTGGCTGCCACAAAGTGCCAAGGATAAATATTTATATAGGTTAACAATTTCTTATTCTTAATTTATATTTTTTTGAAAATGATTTCCGGCTTGGAATTTGAAACATCACAAACAAATTTTCATTACAATGAATTCTGTAATAGAAAGTCTATGTACAGGCATATGCTAGTTGGTACTGTAATTTTGAGTACTTAAATTATGCTTTATGATGTTTAGCTCAAATATATTGTTATTATTGAACACAAGTACTAGACACTTATACCTGGTACAGTCATTTCCCCTAATTCTTTAAATGTTCCCTTACATGAATGTCTAAAATTCAAACCAAGCAGTGTCCTAACTATTTTTTTCTGTAGAATAAATACTTTGGTACTTAGGAGGAACCAAAACTCAGCTTTGGTACTTCTTCCTCAGAAAATTATACCAAACTTTGCAAAATAGACAGCTCATTTTGAGATGACTTCTAAATATGATGATATTACTCTAAAAGAGTAACAAACTGATGTTAACTAAATTCTGGTTGATATGTATACCCAGAAATTTGGTGGTATCTTCTAAAACACTACCTCTTCCTGTATTTGAACATTCTTTGATATAAGTACTGTTATTCATCTTAAGGCCGTATAACACTATGCACTTTCTTGTATCATTTCTTATATTGTTTCTGATATAGAAAGTTATTTATGTTTTCTTGTACGTAAATTTGTGCTCTGTATGACACTATGCAAGTTCTTTTACCGGAAATTGTATGTGATTCAGCACATGATTGGTCGAAATTTTGACACCTATAAAAATAGAACTGCAGTACCTGAGAACCCCAAGCCAGATGCTACTGATTAATTTTTAAAATACTGTGGTGCAAAAATGAAAGAAATAAAATGTCCCAATATTAAAACTAAATTGGAAACCACAATTTTTGAAGCTATTCAACAGGCTGTAATGGAAGACAGAAATAATAAATAATTTGGTTGTAATAATTTATTTGTTTTTTTACAAATTATGTGTTTGAATGGCATGCTCTTGAAATTCTACTCTCTTATTTGGAGATATAAAATAATCTTTA